TTACACCGTCTTTAATGTTCTTCCCATTTCCTGTATATCTGTGGGCATTTACTTTCATGCATTTGTGGTCATTGCTGTATTTGTGAAGATGTGCTGGAATGCTAATTCCGTGTGGGTTTCTTTTTCTCCTGGTTAGTTTATAAATTTATCTTGGGTTGGGAGTATATCCATTAATTCTTTGGTGTTCCTGTCTCCAAGCAACTAGTATGTGTTTCTCATAAACCAGTCAAATCTGTTTCACTGTGTGTGTGTGTGTGTGTGTGTGTGTGTGTTTATAATTATAATAGCTAATTATTCAAGGGTTTGAGATTTTTGGGCTCTTTTCAACACACTGCTCCCACTGCCTGCCTTTGGCCCTTACACTCTTCATTAACACCTCGATTAGAGTGTGGACAGGGGTAACAGGTTAAATTACTAAAAGAGAACTCAAACCAGTTTATTTGGCTTTTTACTAAAATCCAATATGCTTAATTAAAAATAAAACACTTTTCCATGATATTTAAAATATTTATTAAAACAATTTTTTGTTCTTACTACATAGCATTTTTTAATCCATGCTGCTGCACTTCAGTTACCATTAGTATATCGTTCTGTTAGTCTGAGAGCATAATTCTCTCTTCTCTGCATTTTGGCTAAGATTGAGTATCTAAGAGCATCACTGCTCTTTCTACTATGTGCCTCTTCTCTTGTGCACTGGCTGGGGTGGGAGGCAGGGATTCACTGGACTGACACCCCAACGCAGGCTGCTGTTGCTGGTCTCACACGTGTGCAAGCTGACTTTTCGCTGAGGTTGGTACTGTCATGCGTTCCTCATTGATCTCTGATTTCTGTCCCTCAGTTTCTGTCACCTACAGTTTAAGCGTAGTCACATGCACCGCTTTTCTGGTTGGTTGCTAATTAGTTTTGCAACCCACAGGAACCCCAGCATTTTCTCTACTCAGCACCCCTTAGACTTGGGGGTCGCCTTTTTACAGGCGCTAAGGCCGCACCACGCTGTCTCTCTTCCTCGTGGTCCTCATCTGATCGTGAGACCTACACACCCCTCCTTGCCCTGTACCATACTGTTTCCAGTATTACAGTTTTGTAATGTATTTTGAAATCAAGAAGCGTGATGCCCCTAGTGTTGTTCTTTTTGTATAACCTGTGCTCTGCGATTTAAAATAGCTGTAAGACTTTCTGTAAGTTAAAAAAGACCAGAAAGGCCATGTTCCTGATTCACTTTGTAGCCATGTGACGGGCAGGGGCATTGCCCGTGCCGTACATTTAAAGGATCCCTGAGAGATGAAAGTAACATTGATTTGTGGTTGCTTCTTAGGACTCCTGGTTTTCCAATGTGCCAATTGTTTTATGGTCCACCGTGTTTCTTAAAAATTAACTCTTCCTTTGACTGGCAAGCTCTCAATCCTGTGGTTTGTTTTTCTGTTTCTTATGCTGATCACTCCTGCTTATTGTGCCCCTTCAGAGTACATACGTAGGGGTACGATTTCACCTCAATACATGCATGTTAATGACTCTCAGAATGTTATCTGTTCAGATCTCTACCATGGCCTCCAGGCCAATGGCTAGCCCTCTTTCTGAGTTTTAAATTTAAATGTCCCTCATGCCTCCGTTCTTAAATAGAGCCAACACAGAACTAATTTTTGACATTGCTTGCCTCACCTCCTACAAAAATAGAAATTGAAAGTCTGATGCCATCTCAGGTAAGAGGGACGTGCACCTTAAAGTCGCTGTTCAAGTCCCCACCACCCACCTGTGCGTGGGCTCCAGATGCCCTCAGATCGGGCGGGGCTGGCTCTGATGTTGAACGCAGCTGCCCCTGTAAAGAGCCACCATATATAATGCAGCGTCTCTGAAAAGAACAGCAAGAATAAAGCCCCCCAAGACCACGGGGGCGGGGGCCGAGACAATCAGGAGGACGTGTCCCCGGTGCGGTCGGTCACAGGGAATGGCTGTGCAGGAGCTGACCCTTCTCTGCCACCAATGGATGCTGCTGCCGCTTTCCGCTGTGACACTGGTAATCCTCAGAGAAGAAATCCTCTGGCCCAGAAGGTCACAGGGAAAGACATTTCCCAATGTGACAGTGAGAATCGCTTGGCTTGATGCTTTTGCTCATCATTGAGAAGAGATACAAATGGGTTTTATTCTTTTTATGATTTTCATTCCCTTCCTGAATGATACTGATGTCTCTTTGATGACTCCTGGTTGCTATTGTGAATATATACTAACAATGGCTATTTTGAAAATATGTACGAAGATGGCTAAAATATATGGGATTCCATCTAGTATAAAGAATTTTTGTTTCTTGAAGAGAAAAATTCATTGTCTCAATGTATACAGATATGCAGTATAGGAAAAATATCCATTTATGCCCTGATGTGAAACATTTTTTTCAAAAAAAGAAAGGCAATGAGCTAAAAATCAATTGGATACACCTCGAACCAGGTACTGTGGTAGGTGCTTAACAGGTATGAATTTATTTCATTAATTTCCAAACT